CCCCCCGCCGCCGCCTCCCTTTCTTTTATTCAGTGAGATTGCTTGAAATAAAGTGGCCAGGATTGAAGGGACTTTCTCGTTTAGGAAGGCTGTTGAGACGGTGCTCATGATATCCAATTTGGGCTGTCTGAGGCTTGTCAATAAGCTGTGGTGATGTAATTGTGTAAATCAGGGAGTTCATAAATTTCAGACTTGAAGCTTAGGTGAGAAATCTAATGGGTGCTATCAATTTGAGTGTTCTTTGTTTAAATAGGGGAAAGTTTATGAATTAGCCTACAAGTTTATCAGCATGGAAATGATAGAATGGCATTTTCCTACACTCTGATGCTACTGAAATGTGGGGATCGGTGAGGTAGAGTGACTACTCTGTACTAAACAGTCTTCTCAACTCTACTAATAGAAAATTTTCATCCCCATTCCCACCCCCGCGGCAGACACACACAGGGTTTCTCTGTGGCTCTGGAGTCTGCCCTAGAACTAGCCTCAGGTCTCAAACTGTGTACAGAGATCCGTCTGCCTCTGCCTCCCGAGTGGTAGGATTAAAGGCCTGTACCACCACATTTTCTAAATTTCTGTGTTAACATAGGGCAAAAAGTGCTAGATAAAACAGCGCTTGTTTGTTTTAAGATGGTGTCTCTACAAACCCTGGCTGTCCTCGAATTCACTCTGTAGAGAGGTGGCAAGAACTCAGAGATCTGCCAAGTGCTGGGATTAAAGGCGTGCACCGCCACCACCTGGCAATGTGTGACTGTTCTATGATATAGGTCTGATAATTACCAGCTGTATTGCCATAAAATTATATGCATAACTGTATATTATCTTGTGTCATGATCAGCATGCTCTTTTACAAATGCCAGTTAGATAACATGTCATTAATTGTAAAACATCCCAATTTCAGGGGTATTTGATAAAGGGAGTGGTAGATTTGCCTTATCCTGTTCTTGGAGTTGATTTATCAGAGTAATGTTGTTGAAACAAAAATCTTTAATTTACTCTTGGCTTTATGCGAACACATAAAGAGAGTCTCTAAAGTGGGTCAGAGGATGTAGCTTAGTTGGTAAGGATGCTTGCCCGACTGTATAAAGCATAAACTCGGTATGGTGGCACATAACCTATAATCCAGCACTGGAGAGGTCAGACAAGGGTTTATTTTTAATTATGTATATTTGTGTGTGTATATGTTGAGTGCAGGTACCTGAAGAGGACAGAGTAACCCAATAAATACCCCTGAAGCTGGAGTCATGGGCTTTTAATGACCCTCCATATGTAGGTGCTGGGAACCTGACTTGAGCCCTAGAAGAGTAGTACAAACTACCACTGAGCCATGTTTCTAGTGCCAAAGTATGCCCATTTTATTTGATCAATTAACTCTACTTACAGAAATCTGTTCTTAACGTGTATCAATACAAAAGTATGTTTAACAGTTTAGGAAAAAAATAGAATCATCTTAAATATCAGTTGGCAGAAGAAAATACAGGAAGGGTTCTCAACGAATGTAATGAGGTTTCCTATTAATTTGACCATAACTTATACTATGTAAGAACTAGCTCATTTCAATAAGAGAAGCCGGTATTTTTCATGGTATTTATAACTTGAACAGTGTAGCTGTTATGTCTAAACTGCCATTTGAAGAAAACTGGTTTATTGCAGGTTCTGAATGAGAAGAAACTTCAAGAGGTTGATAGTTTGTGGAAAGAATTTGAAACGCCAGAAAAAGCGAATAAAATGTAAGTAATATTGAATCTTAAGGATTTAGGCATTTATACTAGTTTGTGGGTATCTCCTCTTTGGATGTTATTTTCAACTTACTGGTTTATTGGGGGGGGTTGTTTTTTGGTTTTTTGAGATAGGGTTTCTTTGTGTAGCTTTGGAGCCTATCCTGGCACTTGCTCTGGAGACTAGGCTGGCCTCAAACTCACAGAGATCTGCCTGCTTCTGCCTCCCGAGTGCTGGGATTAAAGGCGTTCGCCACCAACGCCCGGCAACTTACTGGTTTTTAGAACATAGGCTGTCACAGTTTTGTATTGTAGACTACAGTGGACAATGCCCCAAGATTAATGTTCTATGAGATATTTGAAGGCACACTATCATTAAGTGTAATCCTTTTAAAAGTACTAATTGTAGCTGGACAGAGGGGAGGCAAAGGCAAGCTGATCTCTGTGAGTTCAAGGCCAGCCTAGTCTACAAAGTGAGTTCCAGGATAGTCCTATTATACAGAGAAACCCTATCTCAGAAAAAAATTAAAAACAAACAGGGGAGGGGCAGTAATTGTACAAACCAAGGAAGAGTTAGTTTTTAGGGCTAATAATTCAAATGCTTTCTAACTCATTCTATAGTGTATTCATGTTCCATGATTCATTCTTAGCTCTAGGGTGTAATAAGTTAATTAGGTTGTTGTAAATCCTTGAAAAGTATACCATGTTTCTTCAAGGTCTTTTAACAAGAAAGTAAAATACAACAATGGTAACTAAATGGGTTAGAAGAGACAGTAGATTTTTCTTTAAAGTAAGTCAGGGTTGCTATTTCACCTTGTGTAATAGCCTACACAAGGTCCTGAGAAGAAACTATAATCCTATTGGTACTTGTGGATTAGAAGGGATCCTATCCATGGAACTACATATTTGGTCATTCATCTACTACTGCTGATAAATACACAAAAAATGATAAACACAGAGAAAGTGCAAAATGAAGTGTAGTTATATCATTTGTGGTGTTCCATCAGCAATAGCATTATTGAATGAATGGAGAGAAGTTCATGATACACCAAGGAAAATGAAGCTTCAGAGTAGTTGGCTATTAAGCATTAGTGATTTATGACTTTCTGGATCCTTGAACATTTAGACAAGTTCTGAGAGACATAGATGGCACTTTATATACATGCAAAAACCAGGTTAGAATAGGACCAAAAAAAAAAAAATAAGATGGGGACTTTGTTCTTTTGGGGTGGGGTGGTTTTTTGAGGCAAGGTTTCTCTGTAAACAGTCCTAGCTGTCCTGGAACTAGCTCTTGTAGACCAGGCTGGCCTCAAACTCAGATATCCACATGCCTCTGCCTTCTGAGTGTTGGGCTTGACGGTGAGTGCTACCATCTCCCAGCAATACTTTGTTCTTAACATCTGTGTGCTTTTAAGTGTGCATTTGATGGACTAGACCAGCATTTACCCTTCCCAGGTAAGAACACCTCGCTTCAACTAATACTTTTTTAGGCATATAGAAGACTAGTTTTTCTATTTTAAAGCGTATCTGCTTTGCCCGATTAATCTTTATTCATTGCTGTCAATGATGTATTCCTTTTGGAACTGAGTCTAAGTGATTTAACAAAATTTCGTCACTACCACTGAGACAGCAATGAATTATTAATACATTTCTTTGTACAGAAAATATCATGAATATAAACTATTTAGGCAATAACAGAAAGCAAGTCTGACAATAAGCTTTTTTTTTCTTCTTAAGGAGTGGGAGGCAGGGTCTCACAAAGCTCTTGCTGTCCTAGAACTTGCTCTGTAGATCAGGCTGGCCTCAAACTCAAGAGATCTGATTGCCTCTGCCTCTGGAGCAATGGGATCAAAAGCATGCTCCCACCACCAGTGGACTATTTTGTACTTGGTGTTTGTTTGTCTAGTTGGTGGTACTGAAGATAGAACCCTGGTCCTTGAATACACCAGGAGAATAAATTTCCAACTTTTTGTTTGTTTGCTCTTTGTAGTCTTGGCTAGCCTGGAGCTTAATAAGTGGACTGCACTGGCCTTGAACTCACAGAGATCCTTTTGCTTCCCAACTGCTGGGATTAAAGGAATATGGAACCTCACCCTGCACTTTCATTTGTATTTATTTTTTAAAATAAGTTGAAACAAGGTATAAGTAGTTACCTGCACTGTCCTTGACTTTGTAATCCTCTCTGAGGATTCCAGCTTCTGAGTAGCTGGAATTACAGCTCTCAGAAGCTGGATGTGACACACATTCTCAGATGAATGTGTGTCATCGCATCTCCCAAGGTTGTTCTGCTAGTGCATGCTGTAGACATCCAGCTTCTCTTTTCTGGCTACATAGCTTTTTGGAATCACCGTGTTCCAATAATGTATTTGTTCTCTTTTTATTCTAGAGTAAAGCTAAAACATTTTGAAAAATTTCAGGATACAGCGGAAGCATTAGCAGGTAAAGTAAGAGGATAAAGAATTTATTTTCTTTTTTTACTTTAAAAATTTGGTATTTTCTTCTTATTAAAAGGCTGTTTTCTTCAGTTGCCTGAGTTAATCTTACTCAATGTTGTCAATGATGCATCCTTAATGGAACTGAATTTAAGTGATCTAACCCATTCGTCACTACCACTGAGACAACATTGAGTTAGCTTTTTTCACCATAGGGCTGGTTTCCCCCATGTGATGAGAGATGACAAGTGCTTAAATTGATCTCCCGGTGGAAACCAATAGCCTAATGCAGAAGCACAGTTCAGTAAAAGCTGTTCTACAAGGGACCAAGGTAATGTGGTCATGTGCCCAGTCTAATGCTTGTATTAATTCAAGGGGAAAGTTGAAAATAGCTCCCTGAAATAACAAGTGCTAATAAAGCTCTCCAGAGAATAAAAAAGCATATCAGTATTCAAAACTGAGGGGAAATTGAATTCTTTAAAATGTAAATAAAATTGACCTCATCATGGGCGAACAGGCATGTTCTGTGTCACTAATCAGCTGATTATTTGATATAATTTGAGAACAAAGGACTATTAAGAATGGTTTAGAACTAGACAAAGTTTTTGTTTATTGGGGTTTTGTTGTTTGCTTGATTTTTGGTTTTGTGCTAATGAATTGATTAAAATCTTTAAAACAGTCCTGTAAGAGAAATATTCTTTCTGCTATAAGTGGTAAAACACAGAAAGTTTATAATAAACATTTTTTGAAGTGAACTATGTCAGGAGTGCCATCATGGAAACCTCTAAAATGCCTTAGCTGATAAAAAATGTTTTTTATCAGATGGATCCGTTTTTTTTGTTGTTGTTGTTTTTTCCCAAAGTAATTAATTATCTGTGTCTCAAGGCAATTATTTGTTTAGCTTGAGACAGGTGTATGTAGCCTAAGATAGCCTTGCAACTGAGGATGACCTTGAATTTCTGGTCTTCTGCTTCGAAGTAGTGGAGATCAGACCCAGCACTCCAACTAGCAATATCCCAGATCCCATGAGAGTTGGTGTGGGGAGCAGGTATACATGCCAGGATACATACATGAACATGAGAGAACAATTTTGTGACATCATTTCTCTCCTTTTATCTTTACCTGGAATCCAGGAACTTGATTTAGTTTTGTAGGGTTGAATGGCAAGCATTTTACCTACTGAACCATCTCTCTCTGGTCTATAAAACAGTTTGGTCAAAGCTAAGTAGATTGTTTAACACTGTAGATCAGTGTTAAACAATTTAAATGTAGCTTTAGAGTCTCATGGGCTGTGGTACTAATATTAATGTATCAGAAGTTCATGGTATTTAATAGAGCTATTTATTCCTCTAACATTGGGCAACTAGTGAGAGTTCTCGTCACCACAATAGGTCTAGGGAGTCAAACTTAGATGCCCAGCTTGGTGGCAAAAGCCTTGGCCTTGGCCCACTGGCCCCATTTTTGTTAGAAGTTACTTCTATTTATCTATCTATCTATCTATCTATCTATTTATTTATTTATTTATTTATTGTGCCAGGCATTTGTAGTGCACACCTTTATTCTCGGGAGGGAGATGCAGGCAGGCAGATCTCTGAGTTCGAGGCCAGCCTGGTCTACAGAGTGAGTTCCAGGACAGGCTCCAAAACAATACAGAGAAACTGTCTCAAAAACCAGAAAAAAAATTATTGCATGTAAATAGATGTTTTGTCTGCACACCAAAAGAAAGGGCATTGGATCCCATGGGGTTACGTTATATTGGGTTGTGAGCTGCCATGTGTTTGCTGGGAAATGGACTCAGGTCCTCTTGAAGAGCAGCCTGTGCTCTTCATCACTGAGTCATCTCTCCAACCCCCAGAAGCTATTTCTTTGTCCCTTCACCGAAAACAGGATTTCTGTGTAGACCAGGCTGGCCTCAAACTCGAGAGATTGACATCTTCCTTCTGAGTGCCGTGATTAAAGTCACAGCACCACACCCAGCTTTTGAAGTTATTTCTTAAAATATATGAGATTGTTTTTGATGAAATGATAACTATTTCCAGATGATAATCTGGAATAGAATCTAAAGTTAGTCTAGTATAGGGATTTTGTATTTAGAAAAATACATATTTAAGAGAAGGGCTTTTGTGCTAGGTTAAGTAACTTGGGTCTTATGGATCATAAACTAGAGATGGGCTGGGGAGTGGCTGCTTTTCCAGAGAACTCAGCTCTTCCAGAGGAGCCCATCACTCACATGGCAGTTTACAGGTGTTCGTAATCCCAATTGCAGGGAATCTGGTGCTGTCTTCTGGACTCTACAGTTACTAGACATGCAGGTAGTGCACAGGTATACATGTAGGCAAAATAATGTATGTAAAAAAGCAACAACATTTAAACTAGAAACATCAAGTTCAACTTTAAATTATTCAAGTATGTGTTGCTGAGGATCAGGCCCAAGGCTTTTCATGTGCTAAGCAAGTATTCCATCCCCAGCTCCAAAAGCCTAAAAATATAAGTAAAAAGAATGAAAGGAAGAAGTCTGTTGGAAGCAGTGTATACAGCATTAGAAGGTGGAATGAAATAGCCAGGTATAATAGAATACTCCTAGATCACAGCACTTGGAAGGCTAAAGGAGAACCATAAGCTTAACTCCAATCCTCCTGCTTCTGCCTCTGAAATGCTGGGATCAAAGTATATTCCACCATGCCTGGAATTTATGAATGGGTTTTATAAAATTTATACATTGGTGTTTGTGGTTTTTCAAGACAGGGTTTCTCTGTGTAACAGCCCTGGCTGTTCTGGCATCTACTTTGTAGACCAGGCTGGCCTGAAACTTAGGCATCCACCTGCCTCTGTCTCCCAAGTGCTAGGATTAAAGGCATACACCAACATGGGTCATTTTCATTTTAAAAGAAACACTTGGACCTTTTAAAAGCAAGTATTTGCTTTAAAATTTACATGAGAAGAGCTCTCTTAGTTATAATACATATTTTTCTGTTTTCCTGAAAAGCATTTACAGCTCTGATGGAGGGCAAAATCAATAAGCAGCTGAAGAAAGTTCTGAAGAAAATAGTAAAAGAAGCCCATGAACCTCTGGCTGTGGCTGACGCTAAACTAGGAGGGGTGATAAAGGTAAAGGAGCCATGGTTTCTGTGCCTGCAGAGCCTGCCCTCTGTACTAGGTTGTCATGAGTTTTCATAATCAGTCTTTTTCTTTTAGGCAGCATAATAAGCTCCAGTAGAAAATAAAGATAAACAAAAAAGGGATAAAATAAACGCTAACTCTGTTACTCATAGAGTCTATTAACATGGTATGACAACCGTCACATAACTTTTTATCACATTGGAAGTTTTCAGTGGCTGGTGTAAAAGTACAAGAGGGAAACCATTAAGTGAATTATGGTGGCGTAAGCCTGTAATAACTTGTACAGTATAATATAGAAATGGAGGTGGTCTGTATCAAGGAGTTACTGAATAGAGGGGAAGTGGACAGATATGACACAGGAACATTGTTAAGTTTTTTTGTTGTTTTTTGTTTGTTTTGTTGGTTGGTTGGTTGGTTGGTTTTTTTGAGACAGGGTTTCTCTGTGTAGCTTTGGAGCCTATCCTGGCACTCGCTCTGGAGATCAGGCTGGCTCAAACTGCCTCTGCCTTCCAGTGCTGGGATTAAAGGCGTGAGCCACCAATGCCTGACTCATTGCTAAGTTTTAAATACAGTTTTGTGGTTTTTTTTTTTTTTAATTCAACATCTTTATTGTTATTGTATGAGTATTTTGTCCTTGGTTATGTCTGTTGCCTGGTCCCTGTGGAGGTCAGAAAAAGAACATGAGATCCTCTGGGACAGGAGTTACAGTAGCTTCGAACCACTGTGTGGGTGTGGCAAATTGAACTCAGGTCCTCTCCAAGAGCATCCATCTTTCCAACCAATCAATACTATTAGATCAAATTATTTCACAACTCACTGTGGTGGCACATGCTGGTCGTTCCAGGAGGCTGAGGCAGGATTGCTCCTCTGAGTTTGAAATCAGTCTATGCTATATTAGTGAGTCACTATCTGAAAACCAAAAGATGGTTTTTCAGGAAAACTATTTTTCATCTTGTTCTTATAGGAAAAGTTGAATCTCAGCTGTATCCATAGTCCTGTTGTTAATGAACTTATGAGAGGAATTCGATCACAAATGGATGGCTTGATTCCTGGGGTAGAACCACGTGAGATGGCAGCCATGTGTCTTGGATTGGCCCACAGGTAAGACTTAGAGAAAGAATGCTCACTTTTATACATAGATTTAAGTGTACTATACTTAAAATGATACCAGTATTTATTTAATATGAAGATGTTGCTATTGCTCACCTTCAGTATAGCTGGTAAGTGATGTAAACCCACAGAACCTAGCTTTTTAAGATTTATTTATTGTGTATATATTGTTCTGCTCACATGTATCCCTGCAGGCCAGAAGAAGGTGGTTGTGAGCCACCATGTAGGTGCTGGGAATGGAACTTCTAGGACCCCTGGAAAACCAGCCAGTGCTCTTAACCTCTGAGGCATCTCTCTAGCCCCTATTGCCTGTATTCTTAAAAACATCCTCATAGGATTTCTTCTCCCCTGTATTGTTGGATCGTTTCTCTTGTGTGCTTTCTCTGCTGTGGTCTGGGAGAACTTTGCTATGTGCATATGTACATGCTGTGTACTTAAGGTCAGAAGAGGTTGTCCTTTATCATTCTCCCTATTCCTTTGAAGCAGTCTCTCTTGGAACCTGGGACACAGGATTCCGGAGCTAGGCTAGAAATCAGCAAACCCTGTCAATCTTCCTGTATTGGAGCTAGAATTTTTTTTTAAGATTTATTTATTACATATACAGTGTTCTGCCTGCATGCCAGAAGAGGGCACCATACTGAATTGTAGATGGTTGTGAGCCACCATGTGGTTGCTGGGAAGTGAACTCAGGACCCCTGGAAGAGCAGTCAGTGCTCTTAACCTCTGAGCCATCTCTCCAGCCCCCAGAGCTAGATTTTTTGTTTTTTTTTCGAGACAGGGTTTCTCTGTGAAGCTGTCCTGGAACTCCCTTTGTATACCAGGCTGGCCTCGAACTCACTGATGCCTGCCTCTGTCTCCCAAGTGCTCCTTTATTAACCACAGATCCTTAGCATATGGGATGTTGCTATGCTATAATCATCAAAAGTAATGGTTTAACAGCTGGCACATGCCTTTAATCCTAGCACTCTGGAGGCAGCGGCATGTGGATCTCTAGTTCCAGCAACACTCAGAAACCCTGTTGGGGGGAGGGTTGTGAGTATATTACTTATAAATAGTTAAGTGCTTTAAAAAAAAACAGACAATTCTTTGTGATAAAAATCAGAGATACTAAAAACATCCTGCTATGTACAGGAAGCCCCCTACAGCTTGCAGTTTTAAGGCTACAGATGTCCCCCAGATCCCACATAAAAATCCTGGGCATGGCAGCACTAAAATCCCAGCAAGTTCCCTGAAGCTCATTTGCTAGCCTACTAACCTATCCTGCACATTCCAGTCCATTGAGAGACCCTGCCTCAAAAACAAGGTGGACCTCTAGCCTGTACTTAGGCTTAGGTACCCACTCATATGAACACACAAGTCAAGGGAAGGGGAAAATGGGATTTGTTTAAAAGTGCTTTTTTAAAAATTGCTATCTAATTTTTTCTCTTCATCTTCCCCAGCCTGTCTCGATACAGATTGAAATTCAGTGCTGATAAAGTAGATACAATGATTGTTCAGGCAATTTGTAAGTAACGGCAATCTGATCTGTTTAGTTCTGTTTTTACCCAGCTGTTGTTACTAATTTTGTCTGTTGAGAAAGATGGACTAGAATTTCAATGAGTAGCTAATTGGGAAAGCAGAGTAGAAAAAAACGATTTAGTTTGATGCTTGTGAGATAATCATGTTGTTAATGCTGTATTATACTGATTGATTTTGTTTTCCATCAATGCTAAAACTGCAAGAAGGCTCTGTGTAGTTGAGTTGTGTTTTTCAACTAGCTTTTTTTTTAGATTCTCATGAACAATTTTAAGAAACATGCAAGTAATAAAAATTGCTTTGACCAACAATTCTATTATTAAATGTGTATCAAGAATTAAAATCATGGACTTAGTTTTGGGTTACCATACCTATGTTCATAGTATTATTTATACTAGCTGGAAAGGAAAGTTTTTACCAATCAATGGATAAAGAAAATGTAGGTACAGATAGACACAATAAGATGCCATTTGACCTTTGAAAGAAATAACATTATACATGTCAAAATGAGGAAAACTTTACCTGTAAAAGGAGCCAAACTGTGCAGAAAGGACCAGGATTTAATTTCCAGGACCCATATTTTGCCTTACAACAATGCAGGTCCAAGGGATCCTACCTAATGTCCTTGAGGGGCACCAGGCACAAACACAAAAGAGACGCCTAGAATAGACCTTCATAAAAAGGTGTTAGATTTTCAGTTTGGAGGGTAATGGAACTATTTTGAAAACAGATGGTGTTAATGCTAGTATGGTATGAGTCAACTAAATGCTTGAAAATGAATTATTCAAGACAATTTGTTATGTATGTTAACGTCTATCAGTCTCTCATTAGTTTTGTTTTTATTTCATTTTGCAGCCTTATTAGATGACTTGGATAAAGAACTAAACAACTACATTATGCGGTGTAGGGAGTGGTATGGCTGGCACTTCCCTGAGTTGGGGAAAATTATTTCAGATAATTTGACATACTGCAAGTGTTTACAGAGAGTTGGTGAGTCAATTGTTTACCCTTTATAAGTTATTGAAAAATAAATGAATGAAACTTAGAATTGTAATAAGCACTTAAGATTACTGAAGTTTTACTGGCATTGGTGGCGCACACCTTTAGTCCCAGCACTTGGGAGGCAGAGGCAGGCAGATCTCTGAGTTCGAAGCCAGCCTGATCTACAAGAGCTAGTTCCAGGACAGCCTCCAAAGCCACAGAGAAACCCTTGAAAAGCCCCCCCCCCAAAAAAAAAAAAAAGATTACTAAAGTTTTAAAAATTTCAAATGTAGCTATTTCATATTTTAAAACTGAGCTTTAACTTTGATTTTTTGGGGGGTGGGGTTCGAGACAGGGTTTCTCAGCTTTAGAGCCTGTCCAGGCACTTGCTCTGGAGACCAGGCTAGCCTGGAACTCACAGAGATCCACCTGCCTCCCAAATGCTGGGATTAAAGGCATGGGCCACCAAAGCCTGGCATAACTTTGTTCTTTTTTTAAAGTAACCTCTTTTTAAATATCTAACTTTACAAATACTATTAGATTTTTGCTTAAATTAGAAATAAAGAAGAGGGTGGCGCAAGATGAGACTAAGAGACATATTAGTTTATTATAGGCCCAGCAGAGTAAAGAGACTAAGAAAGAAGAGGAACATGGTTAATGGCTGACCACCATGGTTGGTCTCCATAGAGAGGCAGAAAGATCGAGTAGAGAAGAGATCAGAGAGAAGAGTAGAGAGAGCATTATTGGGCAGGGGTCTGTCTTTTGGTTCTTTGTACCTGGTGTGCAGACTTAGTTCCCATGGAACCCTAGGCTGACCAAGGTTCTGTCTGAGTGGATTCTGCCAGGTAACAAGGGCAGGCCAGCATAATGCCTGAACCTTTCAAATACTAGATAAAGCTCCAAATGATCCCAGCTGACTCAGATAACAAAATTATTGTTTATCAACCAGTTTCCATAAATGTTGCTTTCAATATTATAGCTATGCATTAGTTTGGGTTATGGAAATTGATTACATGAGAAATCGAAGGCAAAAGAAACAGGTTGAGTATACATACAGTAGGATAATAATGTTGAGTCTTAAGTGATATCAAGGTGCGTTATTAGCTCTGTGAGGTGCAGCATAAGTATGGTCTCTTTGACTATAAAAGATCATTTCAACTAGGTGGTGGCAGAGGCAGCACATGTACTCATGAGGTAGAGGCCAGCCTGGTCTACAGAGCTAGTTCCAGAACACCCAAGGCTACACAAAGAAGCCCTATCTTGAAAGCACAGACACACAAATATATGTAGTTTCAGAATATTGCATCCAGTACATCCTCACATATTATCCTTAATCATTTTAGTTTTTCAAGGCAGGGTTTCTGTAGACCAAGCTGTCCTGGAACTCAGAGAGATCCGCCTGCCTAGGCCTCCCAAGTGCTGGAGTTAAAGGTGTGAGCCATCACCACCTGACAATTTTATTTTTATTTCTAAATCACTTTTACCTAAGGAAGCCAAAGTCAGGCTGGTTCACATTTGTATAGCCACTATTTGGGTTATCTCTGCATGTATGTGCCCCCCCCCCCCATTACCCGAGAATGATTCTGCATCATCTTCTGTACATTCCGTAGGTGACAGGAAGAACTATGCATCTGCCACTCTTTCTGACTTGCTGTCAGAGGAAATGGAAGCTGAAGTGAAAGCAGCCGCCGAGATATCTATGGGAACAGAAGTTTCTGAAGAAGATATTTGCAACATTCTACATCTGTGTACCCAGGTACATTATACCCACAGAGGCTATAGTTGAAGTCTGTAGGTGTGTTTACTGATGGCAATGATGATTTTTGCATTGTTTGCCTGACAATATATGAAGGTATTCAGTCACTACCTCATCTGATGCCATCTTTTGTGTATACTTAGGTGTGGATGATGCAATAGATAATGAAGTAATGCATATTATTGCCATTGGTTTTTGTTGGGGTTTTGATTTTTATGAGACAAGGTCCCTACCTTGCCCTGACTGTCCTAAAACTCACTGTTGTATAAACAAGGCTAGATTAGTATTTGCAGAGTTCTCTGTCCCCTGAGTATGGAATTAAAGGCATGAGCCACCACATCTGTTCTGAGTGTTGTGTTTTGAACAGTGATTTAACCCAGCCAGTTCCTCAAGACTACAAAGATGGGTTAATTAGATTGCTAAATTCTTGAGTTTTCTGTAGTTTTATTCTCAGCCTCCTGAGTGCTGGGGTTATAAGCATGCCTAGCTTTTGGATTTATTTTTAGAGATGGTTATTACCAACCTCCCTACGCCAGCCTCAAAGTCCCATGCTCAAGTAATCTTGCTCCAGCCATTGCAATATTGAGAAGTTACCAGTGTGTTTCTATATGTATCTCTATATGTTGATCTCTTAATATTTTCCAAATGAATTATATACTCATAACATTTGTGACTTCTTCATTTAATTCCTCATTTTAGGTGATTGAAATTTCTGAGTATAGAACTCAGTTGTATGAATATCTGCAAAATCGAATGATGGCCATCGCACCTAATGTTACAGTTATGGTTGGGGAGTTAGTTGGAGCACGGCTCATTGCTCATGCAGGTGACGGTTTTAATGTGATTTGTAAACAAGTGTATAACACTACATACTAAGGACCATGGTACAATGATGATTGCTGTTGCTTTGCCTGATTTCATTTTGGATAATGAGGGCATCTTCAGTCACTACCTCTTCTGAGAGACTATGGTCCTTGGTCAGAAGGCTAAAGTTAGTTCAGTATCATTTTAGTCATAAGTTCAAGCCTTGGCATCAAAAAGAAAAATTCATAAGATCAGATTTTGAGTAAATTTTAAAAATTACAGTATTAGCTGAATACATTTCTAGACTTGATCACAGCAGATTTCTTTGAAGCTAGAGTAATTCTTTCAGTAGTATCAGACAAATATTCTATTTAAGTTCCCTCTGCTGTGAGGTCATGATACCTGTTGGCTGTTTCCGTGATCTTCACCTGTTACAACATATAAGAGACAAGCAGACTGCCTGGATTGTGAATCTGTACTTTTTTTTTTTGTTTTTTATTGGTTTTTTGAGACAGGGTTTCCTCTGTGGTTTGGAGACTGTTCTGGAACTGGCTCTTGTAGACTAGGCTGGTCTTTTGGTTTTTTTGGTTTTTCAAGACAGGGTTTCTCTGTGTAGCTTTGGAGCCTTTCCCGGCTCTGGAGGCCAGGCTGGCCCTGAACTCACAGATCTGTCTGCCTGCCTCTGGCTCCCGAGTGCTGGGATTAAAGGCATGCACCACCAATGCCCGGCTTAAGTATATTTCTAATGATTGACTACAGCAAGGGTAATATAAATAATGTTGACTCCATATCATTGATATGACCTAATGTATCTATTGAAATAGCATACTTGCTTTTCAGAATCTTCGAAGATGATCAAATTGCTAGTGTTCATTTCACTCATGGGAATATGCAAGTGCATGAGTATCTCAAGTTTCCAGTTCATAGCTTTCCTTGCACTCAGAATAATAGGAAGCATTTAGGGTTTTCAGAGAATTCAGTTCCTTTCATGCAGAACCTTTCATATACCTGAAAGAACTTTTTTTAAACTTTTTTTGTTTTTTATGTTGTAGGTTCTCTTTTGAATTTGGCCAAGCATGCAGCTTCTACAGTACAGATTCTTGGCGCAGAAAAAGCACTTTTCAGGGCCCTTAAATCTAGACGAGATACCCCTAAGTATGGGCTCATTTATCATGCTTCTCTGGTAGGCCAGACAAGTCCCAAACACAAAGGAAAGGTGAGTTGTGGTTTTTCCACTTTTTTCCCCCAAGAAGTTAGTGTTTGCTGTTGGCATGTATGTGTACTATTATGTGCATGCCTGTTCTCTGGTGCTAAAGGACATTAGATCCCTGGGAACTGGAGTTCTTGGTGGTGTGAGCTGCCGTGTCTATGATGTCTATGTTGAACTGTACAGAACCAAGTTCTCAGTAAGACCAGCAAATGCTGTTAATATCTGAGGCATCTTTCTAGCCCCTGAGCTGTATTTTTTTCCAACTCTAATTACAATGAACATTAAAACATAGTTTCCCTTCAGCTTATTACAATATTTAAGTAAAAAACATTTTTATACATTAATTGATAATAAATTGTAATTTGACCTATTGTTTGTCAAGAACATCGGTCTGTATTAAGATACAATCTGCTGAACTTTTTTGAAAAGCCAGGTTTGGATGTCTATTTTACACATTTCTTTGTTTAGATAACTAATTGAATAGGGCTAAACTGCAATTTGTGAAATTCAGAGCACATTAATAAAAGTAAAGGATAAACTATAAATTACTTTGAAGAAGGGCCCACAAATACTTATCCTTGCTCTTCTGTCTAAGATTGAGATTAAAGCCTCACACATGCTAGGTACCAGCCCTGAAGAGATTGTGTGTGGTGCCTGCAGAGGTCAGAACAACTTGCAGGCATCAGTTCTCTCCTTCCCTTGTATAGGTCATGGGGATTGATTACTTGGTTATCAAACTTGGTTTGAGTGGAAGCAAAATAGGGCTAGAGAGACTGGACCAGTACTTTTCAATCATAGGCTTAGAGTATATGGTAATTTATTTACTATAATTTTCTCATGAGTAAAGATTGTGAAGATTTTACCTCCTTGGAAAATAGTATTGCTGCCTCTGACTTTATGCTTTGTTAATAGATTTCTCGAATGCTGGCAGCCAAAACTGTTTTGGCTATCCGATATGATGCTTTTGGTGAAGATTCCAGTTCTGCAATGGGAGTTGAGAACAGAGCCAAATTAGAGGCCAGATTGAGAATTTTGGAGGACAGAGGGGTAAGAATCACCCTGTATGTGGCAGATGTTAACCTGTCGAAAGTTAATGAAGTATAGTTTCATGAGCACAAAATCACCAGTTAACATGGCATTTTGTCATATTTCTTGGTATGCTTAATAGTATATTTTCTACTATATGGAAAAATATCTTTACATTAGCCAAGAACAGATTTGTTCAAGATTTTTGTTGAGATACTTAAATTAGCAAAGAAAATTATCACATGCTGCTGTGTGCTATCCAATAGATGTACTGTAGATGTTGACTTAGTAATTTTCATTTTTCTTCTTAGATAAGAAAAATAAGTGGAACAGGAAAGGCATTAGCAAAAGCAGAAAAGTATGAACACAAAAGGTAAAGTATAAAGTACATTGTAGGATAGTTGCTTGTTATTTAAATGTTTTGACTGCCTTTTTTATTGTAAACTCAGTATGAATATCCTTCTGAAAAGGGGGTTGGAGAGATGCATTAGCCATTAAGATCATTTGTTAAGGTCATCTTGCAAAAGACCAAGATTTTGTACCAGCTCACAACTAGGGACACTTGTACACATGCATACAGACAAAGCTCTCATACATATAACATGAACTTTTTAAAAAATCTGTGACAGGGTTGGATCAATGGCTCACTAGTTCAGAGCATTTAACTGCTCTTGCTGAGGACCTGGGATTGATTCCAAGCATCTATATAGCAGCTCTCAACTGTCAGAACACACACGTACTCACGCTCACACACACATATACACGAAAAACCATGACTCTTGTTTAAAAGTGTAAATAAAAATTGTATTTATTTAGCATGTCAGTATTTTGAGAAATGTATGTAATTGTGAAATCACTAAGTTAAGCTCTCAGGTTACATCTGTTTTGTGTTAATACTTAAATTCTTGAGCAGTTTTCAGAAATATGTTGATTACGGTCACCACCACCATAATGTCCACATGCATCTATAATTTCCCTTGTCATTTAGCTTTTTATGCTTGACTTTTTTTTTTTTAATTATGGATAAATTATTTTTTTACATGTGTTTGTGTGTGTTTGGGAAGTGTATGTAGGTGGGCAAGCCACATCATTTAGGTGGCGGTCAGAGGACATCTTTTAGTTGTTTCTCCTTCTACTGTGTGGTTCCCAGGGCTTGAAATGATGTGGTCATTTCAGGCGTGGTATCAAATGCTTCATAGAGCCCTCTTGATGGTCCTTCATAAACATGTATTTAATTCGGGTCTTCACTCATGCTGTAGTGTATTATTAACAATGGAACCTTTTCTTAAAACCCAAGGTCAGCTTAAAAGATACAGTCCATATCTGTATGTAAATGGATTCTTTGGTTGTCATTTGAGGGATGTTTGTAAGTTCTGCATCTTTTATGATAAACTGACAGTGTGTCAAGGTCCTTCAGTAAAACACTTTGGAAAATGGAGGCAGTATAGCTAGAAATTCGTGATATCCATCGTCACCTATATAGCAACACAGGATCCTCTTAAAAGCAAATAGCTGCCCTGGAATTCAAAATTATTCTTACTTAGTATCACATTTCTCGGATTATAAGCATATGCTACCATTAGTAGGTATGTATGAATTTTAATGAAATCATAGAGAATAAGTGGACAGCAATATTTAACAGCAGTCTTTATAAGCATATAAAGCCCATCATTTGGTTGACTTGTGTGACTCTTTGTTGTTAAATGATAAATATTTACAGCTCATAAAGTTGAGCAGCTATTCATGTACAGCTCAGCTGGACATGAGCTCTGCTCATGTGGTTCCACATTCCTGTACTTGACACACTTGAAACATCGGCTATGTAAGAAGATCAGTGTGTTTTCTTCTTTTTTTCGAGACAGGGTTTCTCTGTGGCTTTGGAGGCTGTCCTGGAACTAGCTCTTGTGGACCAGGCTGGTCCCGAATTCACAGAGATCTGCCTGTCTCTGCCTCCCAAGTCCTGGGACTAAAGGTGTGCACCACCACCGCCCAGCTAGTGTGTTATCCTTTGTTACTCTGCCACTTAGGGTTGTGATAAAGATATGTCTTTATGAGATTGTGTGACACTTTCATTTGATGTTTAGTTACCCAGTGATCTATAAATCAGTGCAGTTTTACTTTTTTTTCCTTCGAGACAGGGTTTCTCTGTGTAGCTTTGGAGCCTTTCCTGGCACTCGCTCTGTAGACCAGGCTGGCCCTGAACTCACAGAGATCCACCTGCCTCTGCCTTTCAAGTACTGAGATTAAAGGCGTGCTAAACCAGAATTTATTTGGATCACTTCTTGAGTTTGACTGACTTGCCTAAACTACCCTACAGCCACTAAAATGAAACAGCATTGTGTGCTTTTGTCTTCTCCAACAGCATTTGCTTTTTTCTTGATTATTTCAGTTACATGTGTCTGTAAAGATTTTCCACAATTTATTTGTTTTTTTCAGTGAAGTGAAGACATATGATCCCTCTGGTGACTCCACACTTGCAACTTGTTCTAAAAAACGCAAAATAGAAGAGGTAGATAAAGAGGATGAAATTACTGAAAAGAAAGCAAAAAAGCCCAAGATTAAAATTAAAGGTTAGTTTGATTTTTTTTTTTTTTTAAGGACTTTGGATTTTTTGCGTTTATTTTGTTGGGTTGGGGGAGGATGGTACAGTACACACAGAGGACATCTTGTATGACTGAATCCAGAAAGTAAAAAGACTTGTCCATAGACTTCCTGGTAAATGCCTTTACTCAGGAAGCCATATTGCTGGCCCTAGTTGCAATTTTAAATTTAATTCCTTAAATAATATCTTGATCTTTAAAAACTATGGACTTCTTAAGTATTGGAGAAATGTCTACCATTGTATTCGATGAAAACTGATGGTATCTTATTATGCCATTCTGTATTTTGTGAAGTTAAAATATTGTTAAATTAGGCTTTACAGTATATTTTTTCAACTATATTTGTAGTGTTGGGTGGCTTCTAAATTGGAACCTGAGTTTTAGTTACTTGATTAAGAAAAATGTAGATTGATGCCACAATGGTTTTCTTCATTCTTTGGTTTATAGAATACACTAGAAGAATATCGTATTGCAGCCTGCTGTTCATTATCAACAACAGTGTCTCAAGTGAAGTTGATAATAAGCAAGTGCCCCATTTATTATACCTGATGTTGAGTGCCTGCTAGCATGGTCAGAGTAAAACAGATCCAATGATTAGTTTCTCGTTTGAGAACATTTGTTCTCAAAAATGTATTGTTGGGCCTGGAGAATGGCTCAGAGGTTAAGGGCACTGGCTAATCTTCCAGATGTCCTGAGTTCAATTCCCAGCAACCACATGATGGCTCACAGCCATCAGTAATGAGATCTGGTGCCCTCTTCTGGCCTGTAGGGATACTTGCAGATAGACTACTGTATGCATAATAAATAAATAAATATTTAAAAAATAAAAATGTGTTATCAATAGATGTAGAGAATTGGCAGAGAAACTATAAAAGATTTATTTAACTTGTGTTTCTATTTTCCTAATTGAAACATTTGAAAACTAAAACAGAAAACCAAAGTCTTCTATTATTTGCAAGCATATTCCAGAATGGTTACCTTGTTTAACAATTTGGTCCGTTGCCTCTCTCATGCACCTGCTAGTGCACAAATACATGTTTCGCAGAATTCTCGCTTAGGCTTGTCTTGGTACCACTATCCTCCATCTTTGACCCATGTGCAATCTCCCTAACTGCTTCATCTTTATCCTTAGTATTTATTATTGTCTTTTGTCTAGTGTATCATTTACTCATGTCTCACCCATCTCTCACTGAAGATTTATAAAACTAGGGTCCCTGTGGGTGTATAAATGTTTTTCTAGAGATTAGAAGTCAACATGAGGTGTGTTGAGCCTTAGTTTTGTTCTTGTTTTTGTGGGAGGATCTCACGAGCTCTGTGTAGATTGATGAGCAGGTTACAGGAACACTTCTCTCTACTTGTCCCCAGCTATGTAGGGTTACAGGCATACAGCACTATGCCTGACTTCTTGGGTGCTAGAGAACATAGCCACGTTCAGGTCCTTATGCTTGTACAGTGGGCATTTGAGCCATTTCTCTACCTTCAGGATCAAACTGATAAGTGCAAACAAACATTCTTGTGTAGGTGAAGCTACAAAAACTCCCTCCCCTTGACCTTTTCTAATGTGGTACACTCTTCCAAAACATCAGACTCCATAATTGCTTGATCTTAGCAGAAATGCTGATTTCTATTATGTAATAGCTCATCATGAAAAATTACTTCTGGGTGGTCTAGATTATTTTATGGTTAATGGTATTAGACAAGGAGAGAGACTCCTACTAGAAGTTTCCAATTACAAAATGATCATGATAGCCAGGTGTTGGAGGCAGAGGCAGGTGGATCTCTGAGTTCTAGTCCAGCCTGGTATACAGAGTGAGTTCCAGGACACACACACCCCAAAAAAATGATCATAATAATAAACACTGGAGAGTTTACTATGACAGAAAGAAAAATATTCTAGGGTTTGAGGGAAATGATACTAATATAATTCTAATTCTTCCTGTGCCAGCTGAGGTAGAAGAGGAGGTGGAGGAGGTAGAGGAGGTGGAGGAGGAAGAAGAACAGGTAGAAGAGGAGCCATCTGTAAGGAAGAAGAAGAAGAAGGATAAAAAGAAGCACATTAAGGAGGAGCCGCTTTCTGACGAAGAGCCATGCACCAGCACAGCAATTCCTGTATGTGATTTTGGTTATTGTCTTTTATCTTTTGAGTTTATTTCAGGTCATTTTAAAGCAACCTTAAAAATATAGATGTTAATAATATGTATTCTATTCTTGGTCAGAAATAGCAAGGTGTTTGATAAGAAAAATAAAGCTGCTCAATTGTATTAGAGGCCATTTCTCCTTTCGTTTTTTTAACATGAAAAGAATTTGCTGTAAGGGAGGAAGGAATATATATGGTTTGATTTTTGTTTGCTGTACTAAGGATTGAATCGTAGGCTTTTTGCATGTAAAGTAAGTGCTCTGTGCTCCATCACACCCCAAGCTCAATGTTTGTTGAAGCTTGCTTTTCTGGCATTGCAGTTTTAGATTTTAGTAAATTTTACACTTTTTGTAAGGAAAGATTAATATATTACCGCTATTTCAAAAGTATTCTTATTGGTTATTTTTCAGAGTCCAGAGAAAAAGAAGAAAAAGAAAAAAAAGAAAGAAGCTGAGGACTGATGGAAAGGAACTGTAATTCTGTCACCTGGACACATCATGCTTAAGATTCAGTTGGGAGCATATCAGATGCTCTATAAAATAAGGGAGGCAAATCCAACCATGATTATCTATAGCTTCTCAGTCTGTTTTTTGTGTCTTGTCATCAATTGTTAATCTTATAGTCTTTGATACACAAATAAATATATTTTCTTTGTATTATAAGGCAGTTCTGTGATCTCTTTATATTTTAGGTAGAGAATATTTAGTTCTTTCTATGATTGACTTGGCATTTATTAGATTTTGATTGTTATTGTTGAAAAGTGAGTTGTCAATTATTGGAAATTCCAAAATTAGAAATAGCCTTTTTAAAGTGGTGCATAGATGGGCCAATTTAAGATCTTGTGTTTTTTCTTGTCTTCTCGTATTTTAAAACTGAGCAGAATGCTGTTACCTGCTCCAGAAAGTAAGAAAATGGATGTGATTTTTATCATTCGCTACTTTTGATGTATGTGTTTTGAAATGAGGTCTTGTGCCTACATTCAATGTGTAGCCAAGAATGACTTCACTCCTGGCCTGCAACTCAAAGAGCTCTACCTGCCTCTACCCCTGGAGTGCTGGGATTAATAGTCCATACTACCACCACTTGACCTGTTTTCAGCTTTAAGGATTGAAATCATATCTACTTAGCACACTAAACAGAAGGGAAGGCATGGTGTGCTGTTTTGGTCAATTTTATGTTTAAATACCGTATTTGAATTTAGTTCTTTGATTGGTCTTGAATGAGCTGCATTTTTAACATAATAACATAATTATTAGTTTCATATTAGGTCTCAACTGTTTACTCAAGCTAGCCTAGAGTGTTGAGGTATGCTACCACACTTAACTATAAAATCTCATTAGATATGACTGAGGATGTTGTTCAGTAGGTATTGTCTAGTATGCATGAAGCCACAATGCTACCACCAACAGGAAATTCTCCACTCACACCTTCAAGTCTTAATGTAAGTTTGTTTTTTGGAATAAACTGTCTCTGCCCCTTGCTGTCTGGCTCCTTGGTTTCACAAAGTGCAGCTGAGCTTTTTCCCCTCCTAACTTAAAGCGACTATTTGCAGTTGTCACAGGGTTCTTCCATTGCCTTTGAATGTTTTGAGTTTAACATGAAGTGTAATGGGTTTTAGCATGTGTAAGACCATTTACATGCTTGGTTCATACTTACTAGCCCAGGTGTATCAGAGACAAACATGGGTAGTAACAAACTAAGTTACAGTTAATCTGAGTTTTGAGGTATTTAAGAATGGGTGTGTTGAACAGGGCGGTGGTGGCACACACCTTTAGTCCCAAACTGGGGAGGCAGGCAGATCTCTGAGTTTGAGATCAACCTGATCTACAAGAGCTAGTTCTAGGACAGCCTCCAAAGCCACAGAGAAAACCCTGTCCCTGAAAAACAAGCAAAAAAATTTAAATTTAAAAAAAAAACAACATTTTTTTTCCGTTTTGTTTCTTACTCTGTCCCTTCATTCTTGACCTGTCTTGGCATATAATACAGCCTTAAGTACTGTAGTGAATTTATAACCCAGGGAAAACTTAGTATGTTTTACTAAAATTAAAGAATGCTATTTCATTTGAGACTTGAGAGAGAATTGCTGTAAGTTTGAGGTCAGTTTAGGCTACATAGTAAGCCAATGTGCTATACAGCAAGACTCCAGAACAAATAAATGTCAGAAATGTTTTCAGAAACTGACCTTGAGGAAATAGGTGAGGTTTTTCCATTTTGAAAAAAATTTTAATGTGAATTTCTGTCTGCCTTGTACATATGTGGAGGCTTCAGGACAACTTCTGTTATGTGGGTTAATCTTTTTCAACTAGACAGACCATCTTGGTTGTCTTATCTGCTTTGTCCTGTGGCCATTCTTAGAAGTCAACTTTGTTTTTTTCCAATTTTTCTGGTTTTTCAAGACAGGGTTTTTCTGTGTAGTTCTGGCTTTCTTCGAACTCAGAAATCTTCCTACGTCTGCCTCCCAAGTGCTGGGATTAAAGGTTTGCACCACCACTGCCCAGCTAGAAGTCAACGCTTTAATGACCATTGCTGTTGTTTTGATGGGATCACACCAGCTCGGGCATCACTAGCCCAGGCTGGTACACTTGGCATTCTCATGCGTTTGTCTCACAAGTATTATTACGTTTTAGCTACCTTGCTACTTTTTGAGTTGTTATTGTAGATTTTTATGTATTGTATTGGTGTTTTGTCTGCTGTTTGTACAAGATACCTGCCTGGTACCCATGGAGGCTAGAAAAGGGTATCAGATCCCCTGGAACTGGAGTTCCATATTCCATGTGGTTCTGGAATCAAGCCCAGGTCCTCTGGAAGAACTGCCAGTGCTCTCCAGAGTTTCTCTGTAACCCTGGCTGTCCTGGAACTCTCAGAGATCTGCCTGTCTCTGCCTCCCCAAGGCTGGGATTAAAGGTGTACACTACAATCATCTAGCTCCATTTCTTATATATGTAATGAACATTTTTTCCCACATAAGGAAGACCATACATAAGTACCCTTTGTTTTAATTTCATTTGAATAATTTTGGGGTTGGAGAGATGGTTTTAGTTAAGAGCACTGGCTACTTTTCCAGAAAGTTCTGGGTTTAATTCCTAACAACCACATGGTGGCTCACAACCATCTATAGTAGGATATGATGCCCTCTTCTGGCATGTAGGCAGACAGCACTGATATCTAAAAAACAAAACAAGAAAACATAGGTAAAAAGAAAAAAAATTAAGTGTGGTACAAATCAGTATTCCTAGCTTTTGGGAGGTGACAACAGAAAAGTCTTCAGACACATACAAAACACCTTTTGAGTCTTGAGTCTGTTCATGTACCTGCTGACCACCACTCTGCAGATGAGGCTTAGGATAGCTGACCAACGAGGCTTCTGTCCTTGATATTAACGAAGTCACCAATCCTCATGTGCTCTATCAGTCAATAATTCTGAAAATGATTCCCCAAGATCTGACTTATGCTGGTACAAGCAAAGGGATTCTAGTGCTAAGCTTGTTAACCATTTCCCTAAGTTCTCAGAAAATGCAACCTTCAAAGTTGAAAGGTAAACTTTAGCATAGCTTTGAGTATATCTCCTGAAAGTAACTAAAGGCAAACATGCTCATAAATACAGCCCTGGGTTGGCTGCTAGTCATGTGTCAAGGTAATTGAGCACTTTGGCTATGAGTGAGAGGACAGTGTATGCCATCACTTTTCAGAGCTGATTCATGTGTCAGTGCTAGCGGAAGGAAATAGTAGATTTTTTTTTTCGGGGGCGGGGGTGGGGGGGTGTTGAGACAGGGTTTCTCTGTGTAGCTTTGGAGCCTATCCTGGCACTCGCTCTGGAGACCAGGCTGGCCTTGAACTCACAGAGATCCGCCTTTCTCTGCCTCCCGAGTGCTGGGATTAAAGGCCAGCACCACCAACACCTGGCTTACTGCTATGAGTTGATCACCTTGCACAGCCTTGTGTGCTAAAGACAGGTTTCTGTCCTGCCTGGTCCCACAGCTGCTTTGCCCCAAATAAACACACGGACCCTATATTAATTATAAAACTGTTAGCCAATGGCTAGGGCTTAATGGCTAGCTCTGTCTTAATTATTAACCCATAACTACTAATCTATGTATTTCTACGTGGCCTTATCTTACCAGGGAAAGTCTGGCACGTCCTATTTTTTCAGTCTCTTCATGGTATCTCTTCTTAGTCTCTCTCTGCCTTCCTTTTCCCAGCATTCACTGGTCTTCTAGCCCCACCTATCTTCCTGCCTCTACTGGCCAATCCGTGTTTTATTCATCAGCCAATAAGAGAAACATATATACAGAAGAACATCTTCCATCCGTATGCTTTAAGGGAATTTTACATTTTAAACCAACCTTGGGTCTATTTTTTGGCATGATACCAAACATTCAGATCTGCGTGTGCAATACAAACATTAGAAATTCTACCTTTGGAGCCACTTTTGCTCTAGGGACTTCTTTACTTCTACATTCACTCCACTTCAAAACAGGAGGTAGGGCTGGGAATAACCCAGCTCTTGCCTTTCAAGCATGAGGACTCCCAGAAAACAGGATCTTATAATTCCATGACTTGGGACGCCAAAATGGGTTGCTCAATCAGCCATGCCTACCGGATGAGTTGTAGACCATCAGAAGAACCTGTCCCTCCCCAGTGCTGGGATTAAAAGGTGTGCATCACCACTGCCTGACCCTTTTTATCATTTGTAACAGCCATATTCCCCTAAATTGCTTAGATATAACCCTAACTCTTTGTTTGAGCCAGGGATTCTCTGTGTATCCCTGGCTGTCCTGGCACTCACTCTGTAGACCAGGCTGGCCTCGAACTCTGAGATCTGATTGCCTCCGCCTCCCCGTATTCTTGGGTCTGGAGAGATGACTGAACAGTTAAGAATACTTACTGCTTTTCCAGAAGACCAGCGTTTGGTCTGGCAGCCTGAAATTATAGCGCCAAGGGATTGAATTTTCTGGCCTTCACAGGCATTCCACATGTGAACAAACATACATACCCATAAGTAAATTTTTATTTTTTTCCAAGACAAGGTTTCTCTGTGAAACAGCCATGGCTGTCTTAGAACTTGCTCTGTAGATCAGGCTGGCCTTGAACTTAATCTTTTTTGTTTGGTTTTTTGTTTGTTTTGTTTTTTGAGACCGGGTTTCTCTGTGGCTTTGGAGGCTGTCCTGGAACTAGCTTTTGTAGACTGGCTGGTCTCTAACTCACAGAGATCCACCTGCCTCTGCCTCTCAAGTGCTGGGATTAAAGGCGGGCACCACCAACGCCAGGCTGAACTTAATCTTTTTTAAAAAGGTGTTTTGTTTTGATACTGGGTCTTACTGTATCTCTGGTGGACCTAGAACTCACAGAGCTTCCTGAATAAGGGGATTTTTTATTTATTTTCCTTTATGATTTTTTTAATGTGCTTGATTTGATTACATGTATATCTGCACCACATACATACCTGGTGCCTTAGCGGTCAGAAGACAGCACTGGAATCTCCTAGAACTGGAGTTACAGATGTTGTGAACTGCCATGTGAGTGCTGAGACTCGAACTCAGGCCCTCTGCAAGGAGAGCAAGTGCTCCTCACCTCTAAGCCCTCTTTCCAGCCTCCTGAATGCTGGGATTTAAAGGATGTGAGCTACAACTGGCATAATACATTATCCTCAACAAAAAAGTTGTAAGGGATACTGGTTTCTACATCCGAGATTGGCAACGTTCCTGGAAATGCTAAACTCCACCAGTGCCCTACCCAACTTTTTATGCATCTCCTCCCCTTTTCATTTTTATACAGGGCCTCCCTAAGTTCCCCACATTAGCCTTGAACTCACTCTAGCTCAAGCAGACCATGATTTTGTGATCTTCCTGACTTAGCCTCCTAAATACTTGGAATCTCATGCCTGTGCCATCAGGCTCAGTTTATAACCATCTTTTCTAAGTAAAATATATAAGCACATATTGAAAATATGTGTTCATTTATTGAAGTTTTACCTTTGACTGTATAACTGTAGCTATGTGTGGCTCCAACAGAACTGAGCATTTGCAAACAGCCCACAAGTTTAAAATACATGCTACCTGCCCTTTGGAAAGGCTTTCTGACTTCTGGTTTGGATGAAAAGGGATTTGAAAGAGTCAAATGCAGTGAGCGAGCCTTGATATGTCCTGGTTCCGTGAGAAAAGAGATCAGAGATTTTGGAGACAGATAGGAAAGCAGTAAATAATCTGGAAGAATTGTAAATTGTATTACTTTTAGACGTAATGGTATTATAGTTTTGAAAGATAATGTTAGTTTTTAAGGATAAGAAGTATCCTGGGGATGCTGGATAGTTCAGAGGTTAAGAGCACTGACTGCTCTTCCAGAGGTCCTGAGTTCAAATCCCAGCAACCACACAATGGCTCACAACCATCTGTAATGAAATCTGGTGCTCTCTTCTAGCATGCAGGGAGAACACTGTATACATATTAAATGAATAAAATCTTTTAAAAAGCCAGGCGTTGGTGGCGCACGCCTTTAATCCCAGCACTCGGGAGGCAGAGGCAAGCAGATCTCTGTGAGTTCGAGGCCAGCCTGGTCTCCAGAGAGAGTGCCAGGATAGGCTCCAAAGCTACACAGAGAAACCTTGTCTCGAAAAACAAAACAAAACAAAAAAAATCCTTAAAAAAAGGAAGTATCGTTTTCCTCAGCTGCCGCCAAGGTGCTCGGTTCTTCCGAGGGAGCTAAGGCCGCGATGGGGTGAGGCCCTCACTTCATCCGGCGACTAGCACCGTGCTGGCAGTCCGCAACATGCAACATAGCCTCCATCTCTGAGCTCGCCTGCATCTACTCCGCCCTCATCCTTCATGACGACGAGGTGACGGTCACGGAGGATAAGATCAATGCCCTCATTAAAGCAGCTGGTGTCAATGTTGAACCTTTCTGGCCTGGCCTGTTTGCAAAGGCCTTGGCCAATGTCAACATTGGGAGCCTCATCTGCAATGTAGGGGCTGGTGGACCTGCTCCAGCAGCTGGAGCTGCACCAGCAGGTGGTCCTGCCCCCTCTACCTCTGCTGCCCCAGCTGAGGAGAAGAAAGTAGAAGCGTCTGATGATGACATGGGCTTTGGGATTTTTGAGTAAGCCTCTTTCTTGTTAACATGTCCAATAAAAAGAAACTTTAGTTGTACTAAAAAAAAAAAAAAAAAAAAAAAAAAAAAAAAAAAGAAGTATCCTGGTATCTAACTTATTTTCAAGTAGTTCAGCAAAAATCATGTTTATAAAAAGATGGAGTCAGATGTTACAATTATTAAGTATTGTATATTGCTTTACTGTTCATGGTGTCTCCTTTTTCCCCCTGTATCTTTTAAATGGTCATAATTTTTAGAAAGTCTTGTTTTTAAGAACCAGGGCATGCTATTTATTTTGATTTGAGTTCTTTATTTCTAAATACTTTTAAATCTTTATGAAATTATTGGCCAAAATAATTTTGCAGACGTCTATTACTAGCCTGGCACTGGTCAGGATTGCAAGGCAGCCTGATGAGACAGAAGACAGTAGCTTCTGCCCTCCCCCCAGCTAATAGATATCTGCCAAAATCTGTCTTAAATTGAAGTGATCTTCCTGTACTAACTCAAATGCCCCAGACCTACTTAATGTCCCACCACTCCCACCCATCCTGTATGGGCTTTAGTTTTCTCGTAGTCTTCCGTGGAGTCTCACTTTTCCTAAACTTCAAATGTTTTTTGAAATTTTGTATTAATTATTATCGTGCCTGCATGTTGGAGTGCACCTGGCTCAGCGGATGTACAGTAGTCAAAAGTCAGCTTTGTGGTTTTTTTTTTTTTTTTTTTTTTTTCTCACATTCCACCTTTATGTGGCTCCTGAAGATCAACTCAGCTGCCAGGCTTCATGGCAACCTTTCCTGGAAGATCTGTCTTGCTTGCCCCTTAGTTCTTCTTAATCTCTCATCAGTTCTTGAAATTGCATTTTCTTTCCACTTCCCAAATCACAGATGTTCTCCCACACCATGAAACTCAGGGACTGGCTGGCCAGAGCATTACTGTAATTATGTTCTGGAGAAAACCCTTCCTTTGACTGCCAGGAATCTCAGCTTTGGGGGGGGGGTGACAAGACTTTGACATGCTGACAAGTCACAGCCTTCTTTTTCCCTTGAGCCATCTCCAGGCAACTGGCTGGAGCCCATGAGTGAAACCACAGCATCCAAGCCTGGAAGGGATGGACTTATGGGTATCCTAGAAGAAGGCCAATCATTTTTCTACCATACAAACAGGACTTCTTTCAAACCACAAACTGGCTGATTTACATGCCTTTCAAAATGTTCATGGATCAGCAGTGTGGCAAAACCTAGAGGTTGGAACTAGAGATGCAGTTATATTGTAAAGCATTTGCCTAGCATACATAAGGCCCTCTTCTGGCTCCCAATGGCTCTGTACATATGTGGTACACTAACATGCATGCAGGTAAATACTCATATACATTAAATAAAAATCAAATCTTTCTTCTTGTTTGTTTTTTTTTTTTTTTTTTTTTTTTTGGTTTTCTGAGACAGGGTTTCTGTGTAGCCCTAAGTGTACTGGAATTCACTCTGTAGAACAGACTGGCTTTGCACTCATAGAGATTCCCCTGCCTCTGCCTCCCAAGTACTGGGATTAAAGGTGTGTACCACCATTGCTGGCTAAAAATAAAATCTTAAAAAACGGAAAAAGAGAGGAAGGAAAGAAGGAAGGAAGGAAGGAAGGAAGGAAGGAAGGAAGGAAGGAAGAAAGAAGATGGAGAGCCATTGAGGAAGGCAACTTCTGGTTTCCACACACGTGTCCACATGTGTGCATGCAAACTCCAGCAGGAGAACATGCACATACAACAAAAAACACACAAATACATATATATACACACACAAAAAAAAAAAACAAAAAACAAAAAACAACTAAAGTCTATGGAGTGTAACAGATGAAAGTAAATGGTTCCTAAGTTACTTTTAACAAGATCTAGGTGATAATGTCATGGTGAGGCATCAGGCCCATAGAAACACAGAAAAGGATCAATTAAGTCAGAGAATGTCAGGGTGAACTCCTTCCCGTGGTTTTGTTTTGTTGTATTTTGTTGGGTTTTTTAAAAATATTTTTTGTTTTTCTTTTCTTTTTTTGCGGGAGGTGGGGGGTTTGAGACAGGGTTTCTTTGTGGCTTTGGAGGCTGTCCTGGAACTAGCTCTTTTAGACCAGGCTGGTCTCGAACTCACAGAGATCCCCCTGCCTCTGCCTCCTGAGTGCTAGGGGACTAAAGGTGTGCGCCACTACCGCCTGGGTTGTTTTTGTTTTTCAAGACAGAGTTTCTCTGTGTAACTCTGGCTGTCCTTGAACTCACTCTGTAGGCCAGGTTAGCCTTGGAACTCACAGAGATCTACTTGCTTTTGCTTCCCCAGCGCTGGAACTGAAGGTGTGTGCCATCACTGCCCAGCAAAAAGAGCTTTCTTTCTTTCTTTCTTTCTTTCTTTCTTTCTTTCTTTCTTTCTTTCTTTCTTTCCTTCTCTCACTCTCTCTCTCTTTCTATAGATTTATTTATTTTGTGCATGAGTGCTCTATCTTTATGCCAGAAGAGGGCATCAGATCCCACTAGAAATGTTTGTGAGCCACTATGTGGTTGCTGGGAATTGAATTCAGGATTTCTGGAAGATCAGCCAGTGCTCTTAACTGCTGATTCATCTCTCCAGCCATACAGGAATTCTTTTTTAAACTGGAAATAATTTTTTTTCTGAGACAGAGTTTCTCTGTGCAGCTTTTGGAGACTGTCATATAACTCACTCTGGCCTTGAACTAACAGAGATCCACTTGCCTCTGCCTCCTGAGTGCTGGGATTAAAGGCCTATGCTGCCACTACCACCTGGCTAACTGGAAATAATTTTTTAATCAAATTCAAATTATAATGTTATGTTGATCTCTAATTCTATAGTTAAACGATGGGAGACTTTTAAATTTTTAGTGCCTTTTTTTTTTTTTTTTTTTTTTTTTTTAAACCCCAGCACTGAAGAGGCAGAGGCAGGCAGATTGCTGTGAGTTAGAGGCAGCCTGGCCTACAAATCCAGTTCTAGGACAGCCAGGGTGATTACATAGAGAAAATATGTCAAGAAAAAGTAAAGAAGGATGGGAGGGAAGAAGGGAGGGAGGGAGGGAGGAAGGGAGGGAGGGAAGGAGGGAGAGAAGAAATTCCTCAAGGGAATAAATTGAGCCACTATAATTCTTTTTCTTTTGACTTTTCTAGTGATTTATGAGTGATTCCTGAATAAATGGACATTCATCAAGAGGTAATCATAGGTGAGCATCCTATCTGGTTTCATTGGTTTTGAAACAGGATCTCACTGTGAGGCCTGGCTGGCCTGGAACTCTTGTGTAGATGGACTGACCTTAAAGGAATTCTCCTGCCACTGCCCCTTAAGGGCTAGGATCACAGCCCTGTACCGCCACATCTGGCTTTTTCCTTTTTCTCTTTTTGAGATAGGGCCTTGCTGGGTAGCCCACACTAGCCTTAAACTCACACAGTCCTGCCTCAGCCACCTAAGTGCTAAGGTTCTAGGTATACATCACTATGGCTGGCTTAGTGATAGGGAACACTATGGATAGAAGAAGGAAGCCTTGTAAAGAGGAGAGAGAAAAACTTCAACAAGGACAGCAAGTCTGCAGTTGGAATGCTACATGGGGTCTAGACAGAGGTCTTTTGTAGTTGATGTTTGTTTTAGTTTGAAGGGAGTGGTGTGGGTATGTTCACATGCTAAAGGGAAAGAGCCTCCAGAAGGTGAGACAGAGAGAGCCTTATCTCTCGGCCTGGCCTCAGTCACAGTACGAAGCCACAAAAACAGGAGAGAAGGGAACCCAGGATCTAGAAGCAAAGACTGGACTCAAAAAAGGGAAAAAGGGAATCTAATGTTAGCAGACATGAGAACAGGGGAGGCAGAGGCTGGGTTGCATTTACCACCTGCTCCTGGGAATTAGATTCTGTTTTCTGTAGAAAGCATGAGGTCACCTGCTGAGGCGTGCCAGGAGGTGAAAGGGATGTGGGAAGTGACCATTGTGGAGGGGTGTACCCATGAATTCAGAAAAGTAGTGCCTGCCCAGGGCTGGGTTTCTGTTAACAGCCTGAGTGTGGCTGCTAACCTAGAAAGTAGGGTTAAATCCATCCAAGCTTGGCGCCTTCCAGGCAGAGACAATAAAGAAATTGGTGGGGATGCAGCTCAGTGGACCTGTGCAGGTCCTGGATTTGAACCTGAGCATTGGGGGCAGGGGTAAGGGTGGGGGCTGTGATGGAGCTGTGAAGTTGTTGCCCAATGTCTTGTTTAGGTTTCCTGTAGGCTTTGAACTCCTGATCTTCCAACCTCCACTTCCTAAGTGTAGGGTTACTAGTGTGAACTGCCACACCTGGCTCTCACATGCTGTTTTTACTTTATCATTCCTACTTTTTCTCTTTGCTTTTGTTTTGTTCTGTTTTGTTTTGTTTTTTGAGACAGGATTTCTCTGTGTAACTTTGAAGCCTGTCCTGGAATTCACTGTGTAGCCCAGGCTGTCCTAAACTCACAGAGATCCACCTGCCTCTGCCTCCCCAGTGCTGGGATTAAAGGCGTGCGCCACCACAGCCTGGCTTTTTTTCTTTGCTTTTCTTTCTTGTCTTCAGACAAGGTATTGCTATGTAGTCTACACTTATCCTGGATTCACTGTTCTCCTGCCTCAGCACTCTAGGGCTAGGATTGCAGGCAAGTGGGACCATGCCTGTTTTGTTTAGATATGCTTGGACCTTTAGATACTTAAAAGTTGTCAGCAGAAGAACCAGATGTACAGGTTGGTTGCCTAGGAACAATAGGCTTTCCCATACAGCCTGGGGTGTGTGCTGAGCCGTACCACTTAGGCTCGTGAGTACACTCTGTGATATTCCCACAGTGACAAAATCTAACAGTGGCTCTTTTCTCAGAGAGTCAAGCAGCCAATGCTTGACTGCTCCATATCCAGCTCTCAGGGTTCACTGTCTGCAGCACTTCCTCTGAGGCCTTCTGACTGCCTTCCTAACATCAACCACAGCCTTCACCTGAAACTTCAAGAAGCAGCTGTTTAGCTGGGTGGTAGTGATGGCGCACGCCTTTAGTCCCAGCATTCGGGAGGCAGAGGCAGGCAGATCTCTGTGA